GAAGAGCGTGCCTCTTCCCTCCCTCCCCCACATTCCCCCTTTCCTCCAACTTGGACCTACTTTTAAAGGTGTAATCTCTTCTATGTGATCTCTCTGGAGACACAGACAAGACAGTAGCTAAAGTAGCTACTCTATTTTTTTTGCTTCCAGTTTCTCTGTTTAGTAATAAAATGGTCATAATTAATGGCTCTGCCTTGGGAATACCATGATTAAAGACAAAAAAAAACCCGCCCAAAGAGCGCCACATGATTAAAATAGTGGGTTGATGTTTAAAGCGGAAACTGAGGGAGATAAATTATTATTATTTATTACTAAAGCTTATAGAGAATTAAGAAAAGCCCGCGGTTAGCAACAGCTTCAAATTGCCCTTTTCTACCCCATAGGAAAAACACCATTACTTGTCTAACGGTGCAGGGCCTTGTGGTCCGTTTTCTGTTTGGCATAAAATGGCGTTGCAACAAACTCGGTTCCTGTGGATCCTGCTTAACGAAACTCTCCGCAGCAGCTCTGGGCTGAGCTGGGTGCCTGGGTTCACATTCTCCCTTGCGCTGTATTTGTGCAGCAAACTGTTGGGTGGCTGCATTCACCTTTCTAGCCTGGTCCTCTTCTCGTCCCTGGGGGTGCCTGCGTTTGGGAGATGCGGTGCTGTTTTGTGGTGGACATGAGGCCGGCACTTGTGAGGAGAGGAGGGCAGGTGGGATATAGGTTGCTGTGCATGGGGGCTGCTCCCCCTGGGGCCTTCCTGGTTGGCACAGCTCCTGCAAGTCATGTGCCCAGGTGCTGTGTCTCCAGGTGCTTTACTGGGAGAGTGAGTGGAGAGTTGCATTCCCACAATTTGCTGGCAAAGCCCTTACTGCCGGTACAGTCATACTGACAGAAAAAATGCTTTTTCAGTAGTTAACTGGCATTTGGAAGAGCAGCAAAGTGACTTCCTTTGGCAGGTGTCACAGTGCAGCTGAGGGGACTCTGTGCTGGCACGAGAAAGAAAAGTGGCACCCGCTCACCCAGCGTAGATGAGCCCAGACCACCGACTGTCTTACCAGTGCGTTGAGATGTCTCTAAGTGAAGGAGTCGTTAGAGTTGAACCTGGAATTAGCGGCGCGTCTGAGGTGGTGTCCTGCATCACAGAGCTGTCCCCTGCCCTCCTCTCACTGCTTTGCCTGGACACTGAGTGCAGAGGAGCCCGTGCGTGCTGTCCGGGCACCTGATGCCTTGCACTGCCTGCTCTGCACGCACGCCTCCTCAGCAGGGCTTAACAGGTCCTTTGGCATCCCTCTGTCAACGCGGCAGGGATGTGTTAAAAGGTGTTATGTGTGTCCTCCTTGGAAAGCAGGGCTGCAATATCGTGGGCAAGGGCCAGGGCTTCATATATCCTTTCTGCCAGCATCACTGTGTTGAGACTGGCAGGAGTGGCTCTGCACCCCACTGGCTCTTGCCGTCATGTTGCTCTCCCTTCCCTGTGCGTCACAGGCATGTGTGCAGCCAGGCAGTGCCTGCGTTGGGTCTCCAGCCTGGTAACTCCACCACTGGGCTGCAAAGTGAAGGGGCCTCACAAGGTGGGGGCATATAGCCAGAAAAGAGCAACTCCTTTTTGGTGGCGGTGCTGGCATATGGCAGTTACAGGTGTTCAGGAAGCTATTATGTGATTATATCTGTGCAAAGCTGTAAGTACAAGAAGTGTTTTATTTCTCGTTAAAAAGTTGGTGGTTAGTCTCATGGATATCACCAAGTCTTGTCTGTTAAATACTATCCCAGGTTTTATTGCCCTATTTAAAGTTGTTATTCCATATATTGCATCTAGATTGTAGGCTTTTACATAAATGTTGTCTTCACACTCATTTCTCTCTCTCTCTTTCTCTTCCCTCCCCCCTTTTTTTAAAACTAATTCCTTTATAATAGCCTGTAATTGAGACTTATAATAGCACAAATGAGTAACCACGAAGCATTTACTAGTTTTCTGCTTTGCTTGAACCCTCGGAAAGCTCTGCCACTCCTTAGAGTGTGCTTTGCTCATCCTTCTTCGGTGTTTTGGTGCTGCTAGAGTCATGTCTGAACTGCACAGCTGAGTGCTGATGCTCATCTTGGAGGTGGCTCCCCTGCATAGCCTGACTCGTCTCGGTGCCGAGATAACTTGCTCACTCCATGGGTTAGCGCTGAACAGCCATGAAGGGCTGAGCTGTCAAGGAGCTGCACTATGCAACTACAACAGCTCCAGAGCTCGTGTGGCTATCAGTTTTCTCCTGGGTGGTGGGGACCCTGCACAGCATCCCACTATACAAAGTGTGCGTTCCTGGTGTCTGCCCCCCTTTTTATGGTTTTTAAAGCACTTAGCAGAATTGGGTGCTGGTAATGATTATTGCTCCTGGGAGCTGTGGTAGTACTCAAGGTTAACTTGAGTTTTTGTGTCCCAAACTGGTAATTCTCTTCATAGCTACTTTTTGTTTCCATTAAGTATGACCTCTTATAGGCGACATGCAAGGATCAATTTCTATATATTTAGATACACGTTTTTTTGCTACAGAAATAGGTGGTTTCTCGTGTCTGTGATCACACTGAGTTCAATGTGCCTGCTTGCTGATCCAAAGCAAATAGCAGGCAGGCAGAAAAGAAACGTATCGTTACAATACATTCATCTCTTCCCCTTTCCATTCTGTCCTGTTTCTAGACGCTCCTGTGAGCTCCGTGGCTCTTCGGAAATCTGGGGATTATGTCATCACCCTGGGAACCAGGTTTGCTGCTTTGAAATGGAAAGACCAGTTGGTAACCACCATTACTCACGTTGACAAGGATAAACCAAACAACCGATTCAATGACGGGAAAGTGGATCCTGCAGGAAGATATTTCGCAGGTATGATGGATGCAGTTCCTTTCTCCATCCTGCTGAGTGTTGGCCCTCTTCCTCCCATTAGGTTTTATTGATAACATGCAGTGATCAGTGGTAGATACAGCAAGTGTTCAATCCTAGTTAAGTGGTGGGGACCTTTTTCGTCTTCAAGCAGCATTTAATTCCAGTTATAAATGTATTTAAATCATCTGTCACTGCCTTATTAGAACTATATTTTTAAAAGGAAATCTGTTATTCAAAGCCTGCCTAGTTTAACGTACTGTCCTTGTCTCCTCCTGTTGGCATGCTTGTTTTGAATACTGGTCAAGTGCCAGTAGAAATATTTTTCCAGTAGAAAATTTATGATATCATGCTTTTTGTTCCTTATAAATCACAATTGGTAGGTGGTGTTTCTAAAAACAGTACGACGTGCCGCCTCAAAAAGGTTCAGGGATGATCTTACCAATGTATGTAAATATCAGATGGGGGACGTGAAGCAGATAGAGCCAGACTCTTCTCAGAGATGGCTAGCGACAGGACAAGAGGCAACGGGCGCAAACTGAAACACATAAAATTCCATTTAAACATAAGAAAAAAATAAACAAAAACCCTGGAACAGGCTGGCCAGCGAGGTTATGTAGCCTCCATCTGTGGAGGCACTCAAAACCTAACTGGACGTGGCCCTGGGTGACCTGACAATTGCCAGCGGAGCCTTCCAACCTCAGCGATTCTGTGATTCTGTCCTCCAAGTTTTAAAAACACTATTCTCTGTGTTTGCCTTGTATTTAGTTTCCCAGACTTCCTTTTGCCCAGCCTCCCAAGAACCAGTCCAAACCGACAACCTAGAGTCACAAAGATGAGATCTGTTTTCGAAAAGGCTTTGGTAAGACTAGTTCTGAGAGATGATGATGAAACTTTTCCCAATAGCGCTACTATACAAAATGCTAAGATATATGGAAGTTATATTTTGACCATACCTTTCTTAGTATTTGACATGACTGAATCAAATGTCCTGCAGAATTCAGTCTGAACAGTGTTTCTACCACACTTCAATAAAAGACAGAGGCTTCATTTTGTCATCCTCTGCTAAATGCAAGCACTTTTGACATCTACCTTTCCTTTTTTGTTTTTAACTCAATTTTTCCCCTGAATTTTTGAAGCCCCCCTGCCCCCACAGCTCCCTCTTGCATTGGCAGCAACGGGCATCAGCGTCGCGAGGGGCTGCCCACTCGGCCCGGGAGAGAGCTGGTTCACTCTGAATCTGATTTTTCCTCCTTGGCTCTGCCCCCAGGTACGATGGCTGAGGAGATTCGACCTGCCGTGCTGGAAAGACACCAGGGCGCTCTATATACGCTTCTCGCTGACCTCTCGGTAGTGAAGCACTTTGATCAAGTGGACATTTCTAATGGGCTGGACTGGTCACTGGATCACAAAACCTTCTTTTATATTGACAGCTTGTCCTATTCTGTGGATGCCTTTGATTATGACCTCCATACTGGAAAAATTGGTATGAATCACTTCATTTTAAGATAATTATTTTTTGCCTAAGTATTATGATGTTTGTTTTCATTCCCGTTGTTAGACAGAACATGAATTATGATCTGTGCTTTGGGATCACTTCTTCAGAATCCTCCTTGGGACAAAACAGCAGAAACCATATTAAAATTAATCTGTGCCTGCATGGGCTCCTAGTTCAAACTAGTCAGAGGCTGTTGGCCATATTATAAAGTATTTAAAATGCGTATTGGAGTCTGAGCGGTAATCTGGAATACTGTAACTAAACACAGTGTGTATCTGCTCTTCCTGTATAAAAAGGGCAAGGTGTTTTTTGTACGGTTAGATTTCTCTGGCTGCATCTTTCTTATGACTGACAGAGCGGGCAAAGTAACAGGAATAGCTTGTAGTCTGCCTTTTACAAAACCACTGCTAGGGCTCTTCAGATTTTTTCCACGCTATTTTTTTTTCTAAAATATAAGCTCTTAAATGAAGATCCTGCAGACAGTACCGAGCAACAGCTGGAAAACAGCAGTTCAGAGCCTTCTTCCTTCGTTTATTTGAAACAAAACAAAACAAAACAAACCCTAAAGGGCTTCTGCAAGTTTGGGCAAAAGAAAAATTCCGGCAGCTTGGTCTAATAATTTGCTTTTAAGTACACAGACTGCAGCATTTTGCTTTGCAAGAACTCTGTCAATTTGAAATTGAATTAGTTTTAGAACTGTGAATTTAAAGTTGTTTTAGGTGTAGCATCTTGCACCAATGTCTTCCTGCTATGTTTATGGTTTACAATTTAATTTTTCTTTAGGAAGTAGGGTGTTGGGTTTTTTCCTCTCTCTCTCCCTCTCCCTCTCCTTTTTCTGTGGGCAATCTGGCAATCCCTAGGAGCACGAGGGAAACTCACTAAAAATCTCTCTACATATGAGAAACACTGAAGCTGTCAGAGCATAAAATAAACAATGTTGAAAAGTTGGATTTAATCTTCTTTAACAACAGTGGATAAAAGTTCAGATAGAAATGTTTGTTTTTAAGTTGACAGTATGCCTTTGAAGTCAATGCTTTTCCTAACTCTGTGTTTATATAAACTCTCAGTTTATATATCTGAAGGTCAGTTTTGTGTTGGAACAGTGGTTATTGGCGTGTTCCAGCAATCTGGCTGAAAAGTCTCCAAGTCTGCATTTGACTGAGAGACAGACATGCCTGAAGTGGTCTAAACTGCTTTTATAAAAGTAATTAATGTTCTAAATATATATACAATTAATTTATTCAGTTATTCATTTAATTTGTAAGTGGGGAGCATGAGTAATACACTAGACAGGAGCACCAAGAATAAGCATTATACTTTCAGTGAATAGCAACCTGTCATCTACAGGCTTTCATGGTGAGAAACAACTGTTTTGGGAAACAAACGGGGCAGCAGAGATGGTCCAACTATTTCTTTCATCTGAAAATACTCAGGGCTTCAGCACAGCTTTTGAAAATTAGAGTAAGAATAACTCAGGTGGGCTGTGACTAATGAAAATTTTAACAAATATCTCACCCAATTTTGTTGTTGATGGGTTTTTTTTGATTTTTGTTTTTTTTGCCCTGCAGGCAACCGTAGGAGTATATACAAAATGGAAAAAGAGGAAAGCATTCCTGATGGGATGTGCATCGATACAGAAGGCAAACTTTGGGTAGCTTGTTACGATGGTGGGAGAGTGATTCGTCTTGACCCTGAGACAGGTAAGTCCTTGTGAAGGATGGAGTGTAATTCTGCATTTAAAAAAACAAAAGAAACAAAAATGAAGGCAAGAGCTTTTCTCTCCTCTGAACACAAGGATGCTATATCTATTCTTTTTAAAACGTTACTTTTTTTGTTAGCAATTTTAAGTCCTATCCTAGTTTCCTGCTGTTCAGATTTAGCTTTGTAAATATGTCTGCTTTGCTCTGAGCCTCTGTTGTGCTGGAACAGGTAAGGTTGCTGAGGGGCTTACCATTATTCTTATGAATTGTTTGAGTTAGCACCCTCTTGCATCTTCCAAATTTAAGATCACTGGTAAAAAAATGGTTTAACCATGAAATGGCAAAGATGACTTCTGCCATTTTTTGTCTTGTTTATTTAGCATTGTATATTGTTTTGGGCAGTATATCAAGGTTAATACAAGTCCCACGCAACAGTGATGCCAGCAATGCTTTTTTATTTTTGAAAATTATTTATACCATAAAAATGTTTACAACTGAAATCATAAAAATTATTGAATGAATCCCAAAGCATTTTACCATTCTCACAGTAATATTTTGGGTGTGTCCATTGTCTGAGTCTGCCATGCATTGCTACTCACATTTGGACTTCAGTCGTCTGCCAGGCGTGGTTCAGTCTGTTTAAAAACACTTATAAGGCCTTGCAGGCAGCAAGGGGCTGGGTAACGAGAGCAGGAACTTGATTTGACAGGTGCCAGGCAGCGCAGGTTTGCATAATGCTGTGTAGGAGTGTCTGGGTTTCATGGGCAGTGTGCCCCTCACAGCATGGAGAATACACGCATACCCTGGCATGCGTGCGAACAGAGCGGGCCAGGTGGCAGCCTCTCTTCTGACTCCTCCAGAACCTCTTAGCTGAGGTTCGGGCTGTGCTTTTCCCTTTGTCTTTTTATTTGTACCCATCCAAGGCCCTGCTGGCTTGTGGTCTTCCGTCTTTGGTGGGCAGAGTGCTTCTGGGCAGCCTTTGCCAGCCCTGTGAATACCCTCTGGGAGCAATGAGCTCTACCGTTTGTCCTCTCTGGTTCCCCGTTTTCACCTTTTTCCCCACTGACCCTCACCTTCTTCCTTTTTTTTTATTGGTTATGTCCTTCCTCCTCCCTTTTTGGAGGGAGGGAAAGTGTTTTCTTAAGGGAAAGCTAATGGGAACAGTGTCCATAGGCAGATACATAGGGAGAGTGCGATAAGAGGGAAAGCAGACAGAGTACGTCTCCCTAACGCATGACCACTGTCCAACTATTTTCAGCTTGGAGCTGCTGAACTGGATGTGGTTTTGATATATTTAGTAACGCCTGGTGGATTTCTCTTCTGTGAAGTTATCCTGCCTCCCCTCGAGCCCACATGAGAGTCCCAGCATTTGCAGTGGATGGTAGCAAGATATTTCCCAGGCCAAGTGTCTGTTTCCAAAGGAGCCACCTTCTTTTGTGAACAACTCAAGCTCATCTGCCCTCTCTGCTCTACTTTCAAGTAATATGTAAAACCCATAATTTGCTGAATTCTAAGTGAAGTCTGCTTAAGGAAATGATCCAGACAGGTTTGAAGGTAACTTCATGAGGACCTCTCTTTAATGCAGAATAGCTATCAAGTATGGCTTGAATTACTGTTAGCCAGTTACAGATATAGTCAATGACAAAGAGCTCATTTAAAGCATGTGAAGGATTTTCAGGTTTTAGCTGATAGCAAAGCTTGGATTATGTTTTTAGAGGGATGGTCAAGGAAACTTGTTATTTGGGATCTTTTCTAAATGAAGGTTTTGAGGTAATGGAATTAGTTCAGGATAAAGTGACTTTTCAGGTTTTTTTGAAAGGCACTTCTAGCTGGATAGCTGCTGTCATTGTATTCAGTATGCACTGCAGGCTGTGATGACTGACTCCACTGCATACACAAAGGGCTCGAAAGTGATGCCCGACTTCCACGTTGCCAGGTCTGATCTTACCTTCCGGCCACTTAATGATCTGTTAGTTTTGTGCTATCGCACCCTTTAACTAGGAGTTAAATATCTTCCAGTTCCTCCTTATGAATATATTTTATATTCCTTGGGCGTAAGGGGTCCACAAAATTTACTAAGGTTATCTATGCTATGGATGTGGAGCACAGATGAATACTTCTTCAGGTGGATTTCAGAGCATCCAGGTGTATCTTTTCTTGCATCTCCGGGAAGACATTTCTCATCTCAAAGCTTTGTAAACAACATCTCCGGGGCCCTTTTCTTCTGAGACCACTCTGCAAATACAGTATCTCTGGGGCTCACATCTCTTCTCCTATAGTGCATGTTTTCTCCTCTTAAATCTCCTTTCCACCTGTTTTCTCCCAGACTTGATGTCAGCCAATTTCTAGGGCGGCCTCCTGGATTATTTTATGTCACCTATCCAGCCATGTAATCCTTCTGTTTCCAGCTAACTAGATAACCACAAAATGCTGCTGGAGCCAGTTGGCGGGAGCTGTGTTTCAGGTCTCATGCTTTGTCCTTCTCTTTCCCAAGCAACAGACAAGTTTTCTTTTCTCCCAATATTTCACATATTTTGAAATATCTGCTCTTCTCAGGGAATCAACAGGTAGCCAGGCATGCAAATAATCTCTGCCAGTGTAAATCCCATTACACTGAGGGGTTTGATTTTTCTTTTAGCCATTGTCGGTGAATGTCAAATATGCTGATCCCAAAAAAAGGTCCCAAAGTCCTCTTGACCTCCAAAGGTCCAAAGTCCTGTGCTAGCTATTACATAAAAGAAGCTCTTTCACCACTGCTGACCTGCTTTCTGCTTTTATTTATTTTGTGATTAAAAGCAAGACAGTTTAATACTATCCAACATTCCTGTCAGGGTTTTCAGTGAAACAAAGTCAATTCCACTCATCCCTTTCTATCCTGTATTTTGCATGTGCTGGTTATGTCCCTACTAGGGACAAATAAAACAGTTCAGGGAACGTCCTTTAGTCCTGCACCGTGTGGCATGTTGTAATTCATGTCACACAGCTGGGGCCATCTTCCCACACCGAAACAGAGCGTGAACTGCTCTGAGGGTATGGCATGCTGAACTAGGTTGGTCTGGGCCAAAAAGTGGGCCAAACATTTCACTTGATTTTTTTTTTTTCCCTCTTTATAGGATGCCCTATATTAAAGTTATCACCTTGCTCTTTCAATGCACCATTAAAGACGTAGTAACTGTAAGGGGACCACGCCTCTTAGACACATAAATGATGGGCAAGGGGAGTTATATGTTTTGTAAGAAGACTTACAACTCTATGACATCCTAGTATATTTCCAGAAAGAGAAATTTAATTGTAGGCAAATAAAATAGGTGTAATGGGTATAAGCACATACTGCCCAGTTTTAGGAGGAATTTTGGAAAAATTCTCTGTAAGGTGTCTCAGCAGTCTTCAGGTTAGTGCTGGGGGCCGTCTGTTTACTCATATCATTAGGCTAGTAGCTTTTTGATGGTACAATAAATGCATGCTATTATTTATATTAGCTCCAAGTGTTCTGTACACTTCTGCTGTGTCCCATGATCCCTATTTTATGCAAGTTTGATTTGAAAGACTATTGAAATCTCAGGAAAATCTTGTAGGAATTCGTCTTCCTTGACTTCAGGCAGTAGAGATGTAGGAGAGCTGCATGAGCCCTGCTTGCTCCAGGGTCCCTTTGTAGTCAAAGCAGGGAAGTCAGCAGGTCTAGAGCATGATTCAGGTGACCTATTTTAGGGAGAAATTATGTCCCATTTCCATTTACTATATGGGCAGCCTGGATGATGAGCTCAGATGTAGGTGTCTGTGCTATAGATGTTAGCATTTAATTAGAGGACTCACTGGGATTTGGGGCAGGATTCGTTCGTGATAACTGAGGTTTAAATTTGCAAAATGATGCATCGTCAACAACAACGTGACTTGCAGCAGTTTGATTTCTCTGTCCCGGTTCTTATCAGTCTGCCGAAACTCAGCATGGGAGCTCCCTCTGCCTGCTATTTGTTAGTGTGAAGCAACGGGCTCCGTGGTGGTTATTCACAATAATTTGTTTAAATTCCCTATAGTAAGCAGACAAACCAGAAACGGCATGCGTGTTTTCCTCCAGGAAAAAGAATCCAGACTGTGAAACTTCCTGTTGACAAGACAACTTCCTGCTGTTTTGGAGGAAAGGACTATTCAGAAATGTATGTGACTTCTGCCAGTGAAGGGATGGACAAAGACTGGCTTTCACGACAGCCACAGGCTGGTGGAGTTTTCAAGGTGAACAGTTCTTTTTCCTTTCATTTTAGAAGGCCTTTTTCTTTTTCCTGTCCTGCATTTAGATAGCCGAACAGTTGGAGTAGTGGGAAGCAGGAAAAGGGTGGTGGAACATCAGTCGTATAGTATGCTGTTATTGCTCATAGTTTTGGTTCCTACTGCAGGAGAGAAAAGTTGAATGTTTTTAGAGATATGAAAATACTTTTTAGTTTAAAATTTGTAACAGTGCTGATGCTGCAAACTTCACATGCCATCACCTCTTTCTACTCTTCCCTCTGTCAATACAATTTAATTTTGTTTATTTATTACAAAAAAAAAAGTGTAAATCCTTTTGTGTCTTAACCAAGGGCAGATAAGATCATCTTTTATTTACTCTCTAGTTAGCTATAACTAAATTATCTCCTATAAAGATATGTTGCTTTTTTTTTAAGCCCTGCACTTCCATACAGACGCATACCAAAGGTTACATCGTCGGCTGTAGGATTAAGGCCTAGTAGTATCTGAGGAAGGGCTTTGTGGGGAATGGATTATAGCCTGTGATTACTTAACTTTGGAAAAATAGCATGGGTTGAAATTACTGGCTGCAGTATACAAAATATAGTAGGGTATCAAATTGGGCACAGTCCTTTTCTAAATAAAAAGCTATCTAGTGGTGAAAGAAAAGTGTTTTATAGTGATGAATTATTGCGCTCATCTTTTTTTTCCTCTCTCTCTTTTAATAGATAACTGGGCTAGGGGTCAAAGGAATCCCACCATATCCATTTGCAGGTTGAATACTCACTCTTCAGAATGGATTAAAGAGGACTGATTTAAGCGAGATGAGTTAGAAGGTCTTAATCTGGTATTTGGCATCTTGTGCTTCAAAACCATAACCGTGTTGTAATCTGCCATCAGAAAAAGAAGAAAAACTACTGAAACGCATGGAATATTTTAAAACTGATTATTTTTTCCTTTGAACTCTATTACTTTAAATACCTTCTGGTACTTTTCCTGTTGTGCTAAGAAGATTCTCACCCTCATAAACTATTGAATGTTGTAACTTTCTTAATAGTAAACTAATTTGTTTTAACATCTTGTCTTTTTATTGTTTATTCTCCTATGTCATTTGTGATTTATGCTATATTGATTTATTGATTGAACTACTTGGAGTTTCTCTCTTTTATGTAGTTTCTAAGTTTCTTGTAAAACATCCATTTGTAGTTTTATTGCTGCTTTAACTGGAACCTCATTTGTCCTATGAAATTCTCAACAAGCGAATCATTAATACTCATTACTGTGCATCTGCAGCTTTCTTTTTACCTTACGTTTTTAAGACCCTCTGCTGTGGACAGGCTTAAATTAACACTGATCAGCTGGAGCCTTCAAAATCTCTCCCCACTGCGTGTCATTAAGTTACTCATTTTGTCACGTATAAAACCAAACTGTTGGGAGCAAGAACTGTATCTTTGTCCCTCCTCTGAAGGTCTCAGCCTGATTTGGGGAGATCTGTGATGGCAGAAAAGCACCAGATTTTCTTGACCATTGGTGTTTAAAAGAATCAATACCTGCCCATGCCACCTGTCAGACCAAACTCCCCCACAACTGCCAGAGAGGCGAGAGGAGCTCGCGTGCCCCAGCAGCAACTGCTTGCATGAATGTATGGGAAAGAGAAGTTTTATTGTGATTGCTTTGCAACGTCTTTTGTGAGTGGCAGACTTGCACGTTGCATTGTTCTTTCGCTAGTAACTTCAGGCCTGTCTGTGCTGAAAAGACTGTAGTGTAGCTCGACTGGTTTTGAAACTTCAAATTTTGTTCTTGGCACGGTATATGTTCCCGTTCCACTGCACCTTTGCCAGCAGATGAAGTATCCGTCCTGATCCTGCTCTGTTGGCTTAACCCACTGATTGCAAACAAGAGAGTCTGTCGCTGCATGTTTTCTTTGCAGTTAGCTCCAAGTACTGGTACCTGATGATTTTCCGCTGTGTTTCTGCTCGCCTGTTGGAGTAAGTTTCTGCTGCATCCACTTATGTCTGCTCTGCTGCCAGTGGGTGAGAAAGTGGCTGTCTGGCCCCTGGTTCACCCCAAGAGGCACAGGAGCTTTTCAAAGCATGCCGTGATATGTCCCAGGTTTAAGCAGCAGTTGGAAGATGGGAAGTGTGAGGTGATGAAGGAAGTTGAGGGTTTTTCTCTTGGACTGTCCAGCATGCCTCCACTTGCTTGAAGTGTTGCAAAGCACACATCTCAGACACAGGAGAGGGAAAGTTTATGAGTTGAGGGAGATGGAGAATGTGGCAAATTTAGGCCTTCAATCTCACGGAAGTCATAAATATAGTGACAACTGCAGCTTGAGCTCCTTGATAGCTAATTTACGTTCAGAGATGCAGCAGAAAGTAAGTAGGCACAAACGCAAATTGATCTCCCTGTACCATCACCATCAAGTTTCAGAGGTTTCTGCACCTCAGTTTGTACCTCTATTTTTTTGAAAAGCAAGGATACAGAGAAGAGGGTTTCAGCAGCAGTACAAGTACCAGTATCAGAGAAGTACTGGAACTCTAAATGTAGCAACCAGCACTGAAGCCCTTTGGCGCTGCTGTTGCCGTAGTGCTGCAGGTGCGGATTTAGAAGGGGAGACAAGGTAGCTTTGTGTCCCCGCTCCCTCGCTCTTCACCCAGCTCAGCACAGCTCGCTTGTCCCATGATGTAGCCATGGTGCTCTCCAGCTGCCTCCTCCCTGCCCATTTAGGTTGGGGCAGTGTTCACCTCTGGGGCTTTGGATATGGTATTTCTACAGGCTTGTGACAGAAATAGCGAGATGGGTATGAATGGAAATGCCTATGTGTGTGTGTGAGAAAGCACTGGAAGAAACAGCGGAGCAAGGGTTAAAAGAGTGGCCTGTACTGATAACAAAGGGCATGATTGTCAGTTAAAGGGCAGGGGTTTTCAGTTAATTAAATTATGGAGGATGTGTCCTTTCTGTGGAGTCTGTGAGGGATGCCTGCCCATCCCAGCACAGGGGCTTCTTACTGGGAAACCAGCCACTCACCACAGGGTGAAGGCAATAAGGTTATCTCCATCCTACAGTACAACAAGTGCCAATCTTTTTTCTGTTAGCGCGCTAGAAAGGTAACAGCAACAGCTCATATGGGTTGTCACGGTTCAGGTTTGCCGGGCGGTCGCATCAGTGGAGAAACATTCCTCCCTTTTATAAGAAAGTTAATTTATTTGATTGAATCCGTGAACTGAAAATAGGTTCGGAGTGGCAGTATAGGATTTCTTACTTTTATGAACGGATTTACAGCACCTCTTAATTGACAACACAACACCTTTTAATAGATGACAGCACAAACAATGTATTATAGTAAACTATTTGCAAATATGTGCATGAAGCTTCAGATTAATAACACAAATAAGCTAACAGGGAATATGGGAAAGGGTACCCCGATATTGTATGAAGAGGTGCCAGATAATGACAAGGTGAAACTTCTAATATAACCTCCCTGTAGGCGTATCAGTTTCCGGTACAGGACTGTAATATACCTGGCCACACCAGCGAGGGTGCCGGTTCCCGGTTTAACACCGTTAATTTTACCAGGCCATGCCAGTAGGTGTGCTGGTTCCTGGTTTAGCACTGTAATAACTTCTGTGTCTGTGGTTTGAGGGCCACACGTGGGAGAGGGGTTGACAGGATCCTGGAGGATTTGATTCAGTGTCCGAATCAAGGGACAGGGCAGGTCCTGAGGAGTGCCGGTCCGTAGCTCTGCTTCAGCCGTCCAGCAGCTTTGAGTGGGATGCGTGTGCGTCAGCTCAGCCCTCAGCCTCGAGCAAGGCTGCTCAGCTTCTTCTGGCCCTTAAAAGCTCTCTTCTCCTCGAATCTTCTCTTCTCTCCTCGATGACTCCGCCACCGAACCCTCGAACCCGTGGAAATGGGCCTTCTTTTACAGCCAAGACCGATCGTGGACGTAGGCATGTATCAGCTCCAGGATCGGTCAGTTTTTTGGACTCTTGTTCTAAGCGGTCTATTGCTGATCCTTTCCTTGAATAGTCTAGAGCCTTCTTCTGATTGACAGTGGCAGCGGCCACTGGCAAGTGCTATTTCTCCACCTATGATATCAAATGTAAGCAGCGGGAAGCCTGGCAAGATTCAGCTAACCCGGGAGGGGTCACGCAGAGATCATTCCCGTTAACTTTTCAGGGCCTGTTAAACCATAACATGGGGAGGAAGGATCTGGCCAAAGATTAGTTTGCCGTCCCCAGCCAAGAGGCACCTGGGAGATGCAGTGAGGACCTGACGGCTGGACTCCTGGCTTCATAGACATCGAATTAACGGGAACGTGCCGGGGAGCTGTATTGTTAATATTGCCAATACACACTAGGGCCGTGGAGCACATCAGCCTCCGCTTGAGAGGCCGGACGTGCTTCCGCGCTCCCACCCGGAGGAGCCCAGGCAGGAGCAGCAGATGTTTCTTGACTCCAGTCTCATGACGGAGCGCTGGATCCAGCAAGCTGGAAATGAGCAGTCGCCTCTCCCGGGCCTTTCTCTCCTGCCTGCCAGCTTCCTCGCTTAAGAATGCTCCCTGGCTTTTGTTTAATCCCTTATTTATTAATGAAACTTACCTCTTTGATCAAAGACTTGCGCTGATTTCAATTAGGGTTGAGCAAGAACTCAATGACAGGAAAAGCTGTATCAGGAGGAGCAGCTGCTGCTCCCTGAAGGTTTTTTTTTTTTTTTTTGACTCCAGTCTCATGACGGAGCGCTGGATCCAGCAAGCTGGAAATGAGCAGTCGCCTCTCCCGGGCCTTTCTCTCCTGCCTGCCAGCTTCCTCGCTTAAGAATGCTCCCTGGCTTTTGTTTAATCCCTTATTTATTAATGAAACTTACCTCTTTGATCAAAGACTTGCGCTGATTTCAATTAGGGTTGAGCAAGAACTCAATGACAGGAAAAGCTGTATCAGGAGGAGCAGCTGCTGCTCCCTGAAGGGTTTTTTTTTTTTTTTTCCCCTCGTGACCAAAATCTATAGTCATAGGTGAAGCGTATTTATTCCCAACCAAGCTCGAGAAAACTCAGATAATCCTTTGTGGGCAAAACAGCTCTACCAAAATAAAAGTGGGCTGTATTGACTTCCCCAGGGAGCTCCAGAGCTTCTCAATTCAAGAAGCGAGGAGGGATCAGCTCCTTCCTACAAAAGGCAAAGCCGCAAAGAAGATAAGCCTCCACTTGATTTTTGGACAACGTTGTCAAGTGGGATATTGCCAAGGTGAGTAGTTACATCTGTGCCTATCTGGAATTTTTTTAATAGCCGTGTCTGTGTTAACTCTAACCATGTCTGCTGTTGTCTCCAAAAAGGGGGGAAAGATAAATGCAGAAGATGTTTGTGTCTAGCTGCAGAATGACTTTTGAGTGATTAGGGCATCAAATTACACACAAAGTAAAGTTATTAGTGTATTAAACATTAGGGTGGATACTCATGGGGGAGAAGTTGCACAAGGGTAATTTGGGGAGTTCTGAGAAAAGGGGTGAGAGAGACTTGCTAGGTATTTGCAAAGTCACAGTAACAAATTCAGTGATATTGTCTGTGTGTGTGTCTCTAATGTGATAGAAGACAAATACAATGTATTTACAGACTACTTTAGTATATATGGTATGCAATGTATTTATGAACTACATTAATATCTATATTACACTAATGCCTTGATACACTATCCCAATTACATTATATTCATAAAAGAAAGCAATAACAATTGCATCCAAGGGAACGAAAGGAGAAGGAAGGGAGAGAGCAAGAGAGCCAAGAAGAAAATACTCCAGAGGAGCCAGGAGGTGTCAGGCAGAGGTACAGAGGCGTATGGCCACCTTTGACCGATTATTAGAAACAAATGAGCTGGCTGGTGTGGGTAGGCTATCTAATTTGTGGGAATAATTAAAATAATAATTGACTGACTAGGAGTAAATGCATACACCTGTTACCGCAGATGTGCACAGGCTGGCAAGCAAAGTCTACAAAGCCTTTGAGACGTGTCTCCTTCTAAAGTCACTGACCTCTGCAAAGGTAGAGCTGGGGGACATTTCAGGGGCTGGCTGACTGAGAGAGAGAGGGAGGGAGGGAGGGGGGGAAAGAGATGGGGTGCTGGGAGTATTGGGGGACTCAGAGCCAGCAGGGTAGGAATAGCAGCTCAGCTGAGAGGTGGTGTAAAGCATGGAGGGGGCCACGGTCTGCCGGTGTGTCTGCAGGGCAATTGTAGCCATTTGAGTAGATCAGAAGTATGTCCAGACGACGCTGTTTCCACAGTGGCCTAGTATGACCAGCTCTACTGCATTTGAGCTGCTCTCCAGTAAAGCAACATATGCATTTTTTAAATTGTATTGAGGTTAATGCTCCGTCCCTTGGCATGACTTGATTTTATTTTGCTGCAGTGTGTGGTGGTGAAGTTAGCCAAGTCATCAGATTAAAAGAGTTGAATGGGAAATATGGTTTCCACCATTAAATCTTGCTCTAGGGAAAATGCTTTGGAAAGTATTTAATAGAAAAATGACTGCTTCTTTTTTTTTTCTATATTTTTTGGTTGTTAAATGAAAACCACTATAATTATCTTAAAGAAGACTTTTCCTTTCAAATATTTCTACTGGATGCAAAAGCATTTCATAGGAAGGAGAGTTACAAAAAAATTTCCCTCCATATCTATATGAAACCCCTTTCAAAGTTATTATTTAGATTAAAAGGAGGAAAGCATAGAGTAATATGAAAAATGTTGTCAGAGTAGGCAGAAACAGAGTTAGTGCTGAAGTTAAAAGTGAGCCTATAATTTGGGTTGAGAAGTGGAAGAAGTCTAAGAATGGTCCTTATCCTGAGCACAGTCACTTTGTCATAATGCAGTGGTCTTGGCAGGAGATTGAAACATTACTGGCTTTTTTGCTAGAAATGTTTGAATTTGTCTCCGGCTCAGAAGTGTAATTTTTGGAACTCTGCATTTGGATCTGTGATGACTGTGATGGAGTAATACGTGGTCTAACTCTTTTGTTTGCTTATCTGGGAAGAATGTTCATCCTATGAATCATTTGAACATCAAATTAAAACATGCATTAAATGTTTACATGAGTAAAGAAATGCACTTCTTTCTTCTGCTGGTTTGGGACCTATTCCTGCCAGGTGGCTTCCATCCTCGCTGAATTCAGTGATTTAACTCTGGCAGGAATCTGCCTCTGATCTGCATAGAGGACTCCCAGTGCCCTGCTTGCTGCAGCAGGGAGGAACTGGAGAGGGTGCTTGTTGCAGGAAAGCACTTAGTGGCCCTGGCGCACTGCCTCACTCGGACTCTGCCCCCATCGCAAGCTTTAGCTCACCCCCTGCAGTTGAAACCCATTTGCGGTTGCCAGCAGCTGGGGCTGGAGGTCCCCTGTCACCTACCTCTGCTGGGCGAGGATGGGTGGGGAAGGCACTCTGCATCTTCGACCTTCACCTCCCATGTACAAAAAAAAAAAAGGTGAATACCAGAGAAGATGAAGAAGAAAAAAAAGTATTTAAAGCCAGTAAAAATATAATTATTTTGCTGTTTGAAGTATCCCCAGCACTTGCCGGGGACACCTTGCCAAAGCTCTTCCCCGCGCGCTCTGCGGCCACTCAGAGCCGCTCTCGCCCAGGTAGGGAGTGCGCTTTGCATATTAGAGGCTAGGAGAGCAGGTGACTGCACACCAGAAGGTTGTGGCACAGTTAGGAATAGAAGCCAAGTCTTAATGATGATAATAAACCTTAATCACATGAATAGTTTTCCTTATCATTCAAAGTGACTTGTCCTGCACAACCCTCCCCCTCATCTTTTATTAACCTCCTCTCAACATTTTTATCACCCTAGACATTCATTTGCACCTTAAATTTGAGAAGTCTGGGCTAGCCCTTGGGGCGAATGAATGGTGCAATGTCTCGGTTTTCGTCTCCTGCTCTGATGACATGAGAAAAATACTGAGCAAGGATTTTTCCCTATCACATGTTCTGCTGCTGGCATTATGAACCAGATCATTCAGAAGGGGTTTGGTTCATGCCTCATGATTCATGTGACTGCTGACTGGATAGAAAATGTAAAAGGTTACCTGCTCAGTGCAGATAACATCAACGATTGCACCTTTTTAATCATCTCTGAAAACTGTAGCCGGTTTCATTGGACCAGCGCTGGAAAAGAGACATCAGCCCAGGTCTTGCAATATTTTTCTCAGCAGGTGTGTTATTGTGATTAACTGCAGGGTTTTGCATTGGTGCCCTACAGCTTGATATAAATATTCAGTTGATTGGCTGAGGTAAAATTGTTCTTGAAACTCCTTGGTTTACAGAGACGATTGCTTCACTGTACACACATTAAAAGCTTTAACTGTTTGTCTTATTCAAAGCTTCAGCTTGAAATTAAAAATAAAATAATGTATGCTTGCATGAGAGAGAGATAACAACAGTAAAGAAATGCTTTAAGGCCAGTCATTAACTTGTGTTTTACCTTTATTTTATGGCTATTGAAATTACCAATTTTTGCCAAGATCATTTTTAAAAGCAATCTGTATTGAAGATTAGAAAGGCTATTTTCAAATAACTACCAGAAAGTGTGTGGGTTTTGTTTTGTTTTATTTGTTAAATATCAGAGTGGATGTTTTTCCGTTAGGCTTTCAATCCTAATAGAAAATATTTCTTCCAGTTTCAAAACTCCGATAACTTTCAATTGTTTAATCTGGAAAACATTGCAGTGATGCTTCTTAGCCCCTTATTTTCTGTAAGTGGTTTATCCATGGTTCCAGGAGGCTAAAACATCAACGTAATTTTGTAGTGAGGATATATGCAAGGTGAACAAGATAGTTTTATCCTGTTGTGTTTCATTTAGGGAAAAGATGGCAGTATTTGCTGATTTCTGCTTGGAATTGCTACTTTTTTTCCTGCACATTTATCTCTGATCTATTAGAACTGCGTCAAGCAGAGTGCAAGGTGCTGCACAAAAAGATGCCAGACAGAAGGATGCTTTGGAAGGGGTGAACCCTGGATGTTCTGAGCAAAACTTTTTGGGGTCAATTCATCCTTTCCCAGTGAGATG